TATTCAACATGAATACTCCAAGGCTAAAACAAAAACTGGCGTACAACAAAATGCCTTTTAAAAAGCCTAAAGTTTTGATTAGTTTCTTTACTTCAGCCAGAAAATTCTATAAAACCTTATGGCAATCTTGTTTTCATCTGACAGTAGTTTTCTCCTCCACAGTATTGTCCATAATTCACCATTCAAGAGAGGGGGGGATGGACTCCCCCAGCATGACTCTTTATGTTCTCTTTAATTTATAGGCGGCCAGGAATGCACAAGTAGCCTAGGATCTGATCCTACCTTGAATCAAGTTTTAATGTCCATTTCCTTTTAAAGTATTGGTTATAACATAAAAAGATGAATCAATAATGTTCTTTCTTCAACATAAACCAAATTTGACGCAATTGCACCACCCGACCCTCGTACAACCACTATTCAGAAGCCATAATCATGGTTAAAAACCAAAAATAAAGATTATTTAAGCAAAACTAATCCAGAAGTACCACAAAAAACTACAAAATCCTATTTAGATTAAACACGTTAAAATGTCTTTTACTGTTGATCACCCGAAAAATCAGCACCGATCAGGGAAATAAATTTTTCAAAACATCAAACCTACATGACAATACCAAATCCCAAATCTTTCAAATAATGAGAAAATATTTTAAAACTGGGCTTCCAGGAGGACAAGGCAGGGTTGACGAACAATGGGGATGGTGCTGGCCGATGGACAGTGAAGGTAGATGTAGTGGAAGAGGAAATTATGTAAATTTGAACGACAAGGGAGGTAGAACCAATATGAAGGTGGTGAAGCCAGATGCAGTAATGGGGGGAAATGAGAATGGTGATTATGCGTGGAAGCGAGATTTGGTAGATGTGGATTTGAAGGGCTGGAAGAAAGGTTGAAGGTGGTCAAGATTTGGGTCCATCTTAATAAAGTCAAATCTTATTAAGAGGAGTGACTCAAAATCTATTTAAATTTGTCAATATTTTGATATTTAATTGATATGAAATTTATTTTCTTAACATACCCCCGCAAAATGATAGTTCTTTTTTAGCAGATCAATCATGAAATTCATGTGTTCATTTTTTAGACTTAATCAAATCGAATTGCTCGTTGGAGTTTATTAGGCTCTGATACCATATTAAGATTTGGGGTCCATCTTAATAAGGTCAACCTTATTAAGAGGAGTAGCTCAAATTCTTTATAAATTGATCTATATTTTCATCTTTATTCGATGTGAAATTTATTCTTTTAATATGTCCCCGCAAGATGGTGGCTCATTTAAGCAAATCAATCTTGAAATTCATGTGCTCATTTTTAGAGACTTAGTAGGATCGAATTGCTCGTTAGAGTTTATTGGGCTCTGATACCATATTAAAATTTGGGGTTCATCTTAATAAGGTCAACTTTATTAAAAAGAGTGGCCCAAATCCTTTATAAATTGATCTATATTTTTATCTTTATTCGATATGAAATTTTATCCCTTGACAAAGGTAAAGATCTAGTTGGGAAGGGCATAGCAACAGTTGAGAACAAATATTGCGGTATTGGCAGTGATGTGCCAGGAGAGGAGCCTTCTTGTATTTTCATTTCCCTCCTAGAATACACTTTCCTTCGTAGACCCAAGGGAATAGGATTCCAGGAATTAGTCGAAAAAGATTTTCCTGGTAACAAGAATCCACATTCTTTTTTTTTCTTTTTTTTTATTTTATATCCAGGTATCCACCTTACAGTGACTAAATCTTGAAATCTACACTTTGGCCCCTTAACCTACAGACAGGTTAAACAGCAGGTTGTGCCCCAAATTGACCAGTGCTCAAGAGCCCTCCCAACTGATCCGCCAAAGTGCCGAGCAAGTCGTTTCTCATCATTGCACCTTGCCTTCCAGGATAAATCCTGCCTTCCAGGAGAATATCTGCCTTTCAAGAGCCGAACTCACGACCTCTGATCTGTCAACCTTGAAGCGCCCTCATCTTTGCCAATTAGGATGTGCCCTGAGGGGCCACATTCTCTTTTATTTCTACTACTAGTTACGACTGATTGCGTAATTAAAAGGCACAACATTAAGCATGAAAAATTCACCTCTGTCCGTAAGCACCAACACCCAGATTCAACTTAAGCGGGCTCGTGTCCTTATTGTACGCAACAGCTACCTATTAATTCACATGTATAATACCAAAATTTTATTATCCAAATCTTGTCAGAAAAAAGGATACCCAAAAAATTAAAAGTCTTTCCTTACATAGTTGGATTTTCCAAATTAAATTAGAGAAAATTTTCAAGCATAACCAGTTCAATTTATTATTTTGCAGTCACTCCATCAACAGGTAGATTATTTAAAAAATTAATTCACGACGTGACGCTGATAACAACTTACATCCTGATTTCTTCGATTTCAAGTTAGCGAAATTCATTCTTTCAAAAAATTAAAAGATCACAACCATATAGCTCATATATAATTAAAAATAAACTGCAATAAATCAAAAGATTTAATCAGCATATATATTCAACAAATACACACGCACACAAGGAAAATTAGTAAATTACGCTGAGAATTGGATCTTCGGGGGCCCGCATTCGATGATCCTTCAAGGTGTTTGATCAGTACACTTAACCTCCGATCCGCAGGTGATGCTGACTATGAGTGCATTTTAGCTTTTATATTTCTTTTCTTCACTAAATTACGTTGGCGGTCTCGCTTTAATTTTTCTGGTATTTTACGTTTTGGTAATTGACCCTGGGCCGTGCGGAGTTATATAATAACGTGTGACGTAGTGCAATGCTCCCGATCTGTTTTGTTGTAATGCAGGGATAAGATTGATGATACGTGTTGCACGATGAACAACGGAGTGTTGCTGTTATTTTTGGATACTAGTCTTTGCCCGTGCAATACACGGATTGTGTTATTTTGAAGGTAATGTTAGCGTATTGAATGTTAACAATCGATAGGAGATAGGTGTGTTAAATGAGGTTAACAAAATAATGTTAATTTGATGAGTTAAATTTCGTGAAAAGAGAGAAGGTGCAACGAAACATAAGATAAAAATAGCGGAGAAGCATATTGGATGCCAAAAATTATTGCACTGATATTTAAGTAACAATGATTCTAAATAGTAAATACTGATAATAGTAAAATCTAGGCATTGGTATCAAAAACATATTATCTTAAACGAGTTGTACAAATAAAATTTGAAATGAATTTTAACAGCTCCAAACAGGGAAAGTATTCACTCGTAAAAGGGATGAGATATTGAATCAGTAATAATAACAAAGCTACCCCCTTCAATCTTTCTTCAAAAATGCACCACTCACCCAGGAGAATTTGTAAACGTCTTTCTTCTTGTAAAATAAACTCAAGTGTTCATGAAGCAATCCCAGATTGGCTGCCACAAGCAAGGCTGACCATAGCAATAGAATCATTTGGCCTAATAGAGAAGCAAAAGGTCACTGTGAAGAAGCTGAACTGGGAACTAATTACATGAGTGTCATACTTACCTTTGAGAATCCTAATAAGCTCTCAAGGTCTCAAACAGAAAAACTCATGGCTATACCGAGTGAAACACCCTATAACTTGCAGAGCATCTCAGAGATTAGAAATTAAAAAGTAAAAGAAAATAAAAGACAAATGGAGCGACGGGAAAATTTCTGTGTTGAGGTAAACATATCTAGCCAGACAAGGAACCAAAGCACGAGACATACTAACAAAGTTGTTCAAAGTCTTTTGTACTGACCAAGGAAACCTTCATTTCTGCGAATGATACGAATTGCATGCTAAATGACCTCGTAGTAAATTGCATTTCTATACCTTGTATTTCACTGAATTAGTCAAGGCAACGGCAAATATATATATATATAATGATTGGCTAGTGAAACCTAGTGGCTTTGGTATGTTATATGCATGTGTGGTAGTAGCTTCATCGGGTACAACTCTATTTATACTATGTCCCCAACCAAATTTATCGAAAATAAGTTGCGGACGTTGTCCTCATTTCTGTGCTTGTTATCTCCATTGGAGTCGTTAGCTTTAGCCTTCCTTTCCGAACATTCGTTAATGCCTAAAGTAGCCTCTAAACCATCTGATAGAATCCTGTTGGTGACTGATTTCTGCAGACGATAGATCACAGCTAGGAAGACACCAATACCAGATGATGTGAAATAGGATTTTGTATCATGTAATTGAAGAACTGTGATTACAGAAGATAGGTAAATGATAGAAATACAGGATTCTAATGTTATGTAAAGCTACGCAGCAACCAATCACCATCTCTCCTTGCACATTCAGAAGCTCCATTTGAAGGAATAGGAACCTCCTAAATACAGGCTAGAATTTATTACAGAAATAGCCGATTTTAATTG